CTTGACGTCACAAATCACGTGCGATCCGCCTGACATGATAGGTGTCTGCTGCCAAGACGCTCATGCTCTGATACCAGGTAGGTAGGTAGGTACGCTCAAGTAACTACCCTACACCTGGTACCTAATGTGCCAGATATGAGCCGCCATGATCCTATAACACGATCCCATTCTTTGATATGCATAACCCAGTCCAGCCGGTTAGAAAAAGTTGGCGAGAAGAATATTGAGCTGACCTAGCGAATGCTATGCCATTGAACCAAGCACACCCTTCCGTCAGCTCAGTTTCAGCTGACATACCCGCGCTATCATATCCAATGAAAATGAACCGCATCCCTCGAAGTGTGAGAGAGGACCGGGGACATATCGACCACTCCATCATGTCGAATGACTTCTCCTCTCGCTTGTCCGACTTATAGACCCGTACCATTGATGCCACTTGCATCGCGAGTTATGGTGCTCTGGCATCTCGTGCTCAGGCCCAGACCTGGGATAATACGAAAGAGGACTTCGAGGCAGCATCTGATTCTGAATGGGGCAGCTCGAACTCATTCGTCTCGGTCCGTTGAGAAGCAGAAACTCTGTGAAGTCGGAAGCTGGGATGCAACGTCAGTATCACAGTCATACCGTCATGCTCAGCACTAGAAGGGAAACAGCCATGGGCTACTTGGGCAATGAAACAAAATTCACTTCACACTATTAAAAGCAATACAACCCAGACGGCAAGCCAAGCCTGGCTGGATAAGCAGCGAAGGCCTCAAGGAGTGAGCACATGAGTTTTGAGCCCGAATCCACGATTGCTTGTGGTTCTTACTGACGTCGAGAAGACCCATGGCTATAGACAGCTTACATATAACATGGCCTGAAACACAACCATTCGTACATGACAGCCAACAGCCGCCGGCCTCCTTTCGCTGATCATGGTTGCCAGACCTAGCTGAAGTGCCCTCTTGCACACATGATTGGCGTATCAATAACGACACACACACACTCACTCACACTCGGACACACAACTGGGCTTTCAGCATGCGGGGCCGGGACTCGACCCCTCCTCAGCCAGGCTTAGCCCGACGGCAAAGGCCAGCGACGAGAAACGACCTGTCATCCCCTTCTCGCTCAAAACACCATGCAACTCGGCGTTGCTTGACAACACGTCCGGGTTGGAAGTGCCGGGTCTGGCCCTCGGGCTGGCGATCCATGCAGCCCGGCTCTTCCCCGTGCCCTGTCCTTCGTCTATCCCAATGCTTCCGCTTAGTTTGCGGTGTCTCGCAGTGCGATAAACTGCTCTTCGACTATATCACTATCGAGTCGACGCCATCGGATCTGCTGTGAGGGCTTTCATGCGTCACTCCCTGTATCTCATTCCCATGAGACTTTGGGTGTGATGAGTCGGCGCTAGTGCATGTGATACAACCGCTCAAAACGTCGCCTCGCGGCTGCTGTAGTCCCGGGCCACGGTGACGGTCCCGTCGGCCCCGGGCACGAAGCGGACGTAGTGGTTCGCAAAGTAGGAGAGCGTCAGCCGCCGCGGCGAGAAAAGCTCCCACGGGGTCGTTGGCGGCACCGGCACGGTCTCGGGCGGGTCCCCGCCGCCGCGCGGGAGGTAGACGACGTCCGAGTACTGCCGCCTGTTGTTGTCGACTTCGACGCAGGCGAGGACGAAGAGCGAAAAGTGGACCATCCTGTTCCGAGTGCGCCATGTTAGCCAGGGCGTCGGCCTTTTTTTTCTTTTTTTTTTCTTCTCCTTTCTCCTTTTTCCTCTTTCGCGAGGGATGTCCGGTGAGGTGAGCGAGAGGGGACTTACATGAGGACGAACATGGAGAAGATCAAGCCGGCGGTCAAGTTCAGGCGGTGCAGGGCCCAGCCGGGGGAGTGCGCGTAGGCCCACCATTCGGCGAGGAGCAGGCCGACGAAGGCCATCGTGGGCACCCAGATGAGCAGGTGGGCGGCGACGTGGGAGCCGGGGCGCCCCCAGCTGAAGCGAGGCTTCCGTGGCGGTCCGCGGGCGCGCCCCAGCAGCGCGGCGACGTCGACGGCGCTCCAGATCCAGGCGAAGACGGCGGTCGGGGTGCCGTAGATCAGGGAGCCGAGGGCGAGGTCGTCGCCGGCGCCGGTGCCGTCGTGCTGCTGCGCGAAGCTGACGAGGCCGAGGATGGCGGAGGCGACGAAGAGGGAGGCGGCGCGGAGGAGGAGGGTGGCGCGGCGCATGGACCGGTAGGAGGGGACGGCGGTGAGGAAGTCGCCGTGGTGGTGGATTATGCTGGCCGGTACGGCCGCTATGTCATGGTAGATGGGTATGGCGTCCATTGTCGTCGTCGGAGGTCTGCATCGTCGGGGGTGTCGTTATCGTATTGTGGAATGAGGGCGGAGGGCTTCGGAGCCAACGAGAGGAGAGGAGAGGCAGGCGATCGCGCGCGGTCAGGATCGAATCGCCGTTGAGGGATTCGAGTCGCTCTGGGGGCCGACGGGGCTTTATTGATGTAGATGTTTTTTTCTGGGTGCCGTCGTACACGACCATGTTAGATATTTAGGGGAGCAGCTTATGGTCCATATGAATAAACTACATGCAGCCAGCGTAATCTTACAGTGGGGGTGGGGCGGTGCGCTCTTACGGGGCCTGGAGCGGCCTGCCACACCACGACCTCTTGAGGGATTTACTATGTATGAGTAGATATAGACATTATCTATCCATCCATCCATCCATCAATACATCCATGGGATCACGCCAGACAATTGGTAGTCCGGTCAATGACATGCTATTTACATGACATATAATGCAGAATAGGTAATTGCAGATTGGTCGCGCAAGTAAGCCCGTCTGTCCTGAGTCCTCTGACAGCTTGAGCAGCATACTCAAGATGCAAGCAAGTATATACAGCAAGTCCGGGGTTCCCCGGCGTCTCTCAAACGTGTTGGCAGACGCATTCCTCCAAAGTGATCGAAACGCGCGTGGGCGGTGGGTCTGTAATGCAAACCATATAATACAGACTATAACACAGATAAGACGAACCAGGCAATCACAGCGACCGGGCCCTCGTCGGCGTCGCCGACATGGGCGCCGGCACGTTCATGCGATACTTGCCCTCGCGCGCCCCCGCGTCCGCCGGCGTCATGCCCGTCGCGCTCGTCGCGAACTTGATGTCCGCGTCCCCCAGCATCACCAGCTGCGGCTGCGCATCGCCCCTCCTCCCCCTCTCGAGCTCCTCCCCCGACGGCATATAGTCCCCCGGCGGCGGCCGCATGCTTGGCCGGAGGAGCCGGTCGCGGTCGCCCACTGGAACGTTGCGCGGCACCCCGGGGACCGCTTCTCTTTCCATAATCGACGGCGGGATCTCGAGCTGCTGCAGCTCTTGCTGCAGCTGGAAAGCGTTGCGCAGCGGGCTGCTGCCGACGGGGCCGTCGAGTGGCTGGTGGAGCGGCGGGGGGCGGGCCGGTTGCTGCTGCTGCTGGGGCTTCTGCGTCGGCGGTTCGGGGAACGGCTTGGGGACGACGTAGACTGTCTGCCCCGTCTCGGGGATGTACATGACGCGCGGCCTGCGCTGGCGGATCTCGCGGCCGCGCTCGACGCAGGCGCGGATGAACAGGGCCAGGTGGATAGTCCTAGCCAGAGGGCGTCAGTGGTGCGGGTGTAGATGTGAAGGGAGTGCACGGGGATACTTACGCGGTCATGAGCAAAAAGACGCATTGGGCGACGACGTATGAGAAGGGATCCATGGGCACTGGGCCGGCCTGGCTGGATTCCTGCAACCCCAGCTGGACGGCCAGCAACGCGCCGGCGGAGTAAGTCCCGAGGGACAGCATCAGCTCGACGCCGATGTGGGCCTTGGGCGTGATGCCGCGGCCGCGGCGGGCGCATACGGAGAGGAACTCGCTCTGGTCCCACATGAAGGAGGGCAAAGCCTGTGGCGGGTGGCAATGTGTGAGCAAGCGCACAGGATCACACTCGAGTTACCCCGTAGACGTAGGTAGGTAGATTGTCATGCGGGCGACCCGGAAGAGCAGAGAGAAAGAGGACCGACTCACCCCCGGAAAACCCAGCCATATCCATATACCGTACCCGTCCAGCTTCAAGCGGGCGTACCAGACCATGGAGATGATGAGGATGACGGCACACAGCAGCGTCGAGACGAGGCGCGCGATGATCTTGCACACTTCGCACCGCCGGCCGCCCCGGTTCAGCCACCACACGTCGGCCGGGTCGACCTGGGCCGCTGGCGAGGGGGGCTTGACGCCGTCCGCGTCCGAGGCGAGGCACTCGAGCTGGTGCGACTCGGGCACGCTCATTATTGTGGCCAGGGGGCGGGCAAGGATGAGAATGATGTGGTATTCTGCACTCTTATTTTCCGACTGTTGTCGTCGTCGTCGTCGTCGTCTCCGTGCTCGTCCCCCTTTGGACACGCGAGACCGACAGCAGGCTGTTGCAGAGTAAAAGACGATGATTGCACTCGAATCAAGGTTCGGCCCGGCCCTTGTTCAATCCAAACCATTGTTCTTTGATGGGAGAAAACAGCCCGTCTCCAAATCAAAGCCATCCCTCCAGGGCCATGATGATGATGCTTGGCCAAACTGTTGGCAGAGCGAGAGAGAAATTAGGCAACCGTAATTCTCAAAAAAGGGGGCTCCACTCTGCAACGGCATCCAAACGAATTCGTATTGCACGCTGCTAGAGTTGATCATCCCTTGTCCGTCGTCAGCTTCGCCTGCATTGTATCTTGAAGATGGTTGGTTATTCGTGTTGAAGCAGTGCATTGAATGGTCGGCGGCTGCTTAACCGAGCGTTGATGGTTGCTCTTTCCAAAAGCGGATATTGTTCGTCTCGATTACCGTCTCCTCAGATTTGCACCTGCCTGCCCACCCACTCAGTCATCACCATCACCATCAGCACGCACAATGTCCTGCTCATTCATTCATCACCATCGTCAATATATCGACGAAGTTTCGCCTTGCTGATGATACACGCACACAAAAAAGGAAAAAACTCTAAGTAAGAAAGACAAAAGTAATGGACACTGTGGGAATTGAACCCACGACCTTTCACAATCTCGCATAGTTTGTTTACCACTCACGATGCGAAGCGAAAATCATACCCCTAGACCAAGCGCCCGTTGTTGTTGGGAATAAGCAAATCAACTCAGACTATGATGGCTTTCCCAGAACTGTCACTCGTGGAATGAATCCCTTTCCCCATGAAAGTGACACGTTGTGGCTATTATACATGAGCATCGTCTTGCCCTGTGAGATGCACATCAATATTCTGACTCTGCTACACGGTATCAGAGAAGCACCTTGACACGAAGGCACGTCATCTCACGAATGAGAATCGTTCAGGTCGATATACACCATAAACACTGTCGGTCACAGTAGGCACTCTAAAGTCTGGAATCAGGCCTTTTCTCATTCATGTCACCCGTCGGGTATTCTAATGCTATTCATACAAGGTCGTTACACGTTTCCTCCTTCCTGCGCACAATACCCTTTACGCCGGAACATCGCTGTCCAGCTTCTCGTACACGACCGGGCCGCTGATCTCCGTCTCCCGGGGCCCGGCGTAACGCCCGGGTCCGAGCTGGCTCTTGAGCAGCTCCCGCTCCGCCACGCGCGCCGGGTCATTCTCGCTGCCGGGCTCCGCGCGGAGCGCCTCCTGCAGACCGTCCTTGACGTTCTTGTCGTCGAAGCCCTCGTGGATGTTCTTGCCGTGCGGCCCCTTGGGGTCGCGGATGTACTGGTTGAGCACGTACGTCGGCGCCGGGTCGGCCTTCGACGAGCCGCCGGTCCCCGCTCTGGCAGAGTCGTTGCTGTTGTCGCTGCCGGTGTTCTTTGATGTGTTGGGATCGACGCCGCTGTTCTTGTTCTTGGAGAACTCGCCGCCGTGGCTGGCGGACTCGGCTGCGAGGGAGTCGGGCGGGACGGGGCCCGGGGCTTCGGGCCGAGTGGGAGCTGCGGCGCCGAGTTCGACCTGGCCTTGTTAGCAACCCCATCCGTCGGCAACCTTTTTAGGCGTGCGTGCAGGCCTAAAATTTGTTAAAAAACGTACCTTGGTGCCAGCGCTGGGGGGCTTCTTGTCATGAGGAGTAACAGTAGACATGTTGGTTTTGTTGATGGAATTGGTCGCTGTGGTTCGGTTTGGGTATCACGAAATCGGGTAGATGATTTCAAGTGGTCCAATATCCAAGTACTGTGACTGAATTGTGTTGTCTTGTTCTAATCCCTCTCTCATCGGGGTTCGAAGCCGTCTCTTTAAAGACCGGCTCGTCGCATGACATCATGTCGCCCTCGTCTTACATCAATCTCTGCCCGACATATAATCCCCCAGCACAGACTGCGGCATGACTTCAGCTCTCCACATTATCGCCCTCACGGTTGTCGCCCGCCACGAGATGAGGTCCGAATTACATCACCCACCCCGCCTCGCACCTCCCAGCTCGGCAGCATCGAGATGCGCATCGCTCCCCAAAGCCTACACACCACCAGGCTTTGCCTTTCGCCCGGGCTGTGAAATCTAGAACATTCAACTGCAGTGTACGGCCATCTCCACGGAATGCAGCCCGACCGGGCCTGACCGGGGGCTCGCCGAGCGTGTGGGAACAGGGAGCGGGCCGGCTCATGGATGACAGTTGGGGCCAGTCACGAGATTTCCTCCAGATCAAGCGCAGATCACTTGATCCTGGGCCATTGTCGAGTTGTCCTTCTCTCGCGTAAGAGACGTCAACATGATTCGTTGCAACGGGGTTCGGAAAACGCCCAAGGATTCTTAATATCATTCCCGGCTTAAACCCAAACCTCATTGTTTCCCAATATGAGTTTTTCTGGATTGATTCTTATGTCTGTGTAACACAACTCATCTAGAAGCACACACTCGGGGTGTAAAACGACCGCCGGTTTTCCATACCACCAATATCACGGCCACTATCACGACCACTACTACGGCTCCTGTGATAGGTAATAAAGCTTTAAATAAACAAAAAAGCCGCGTTTACAAGGGTGTTATAGATTCTTTTGAGACAGAGAAGGCTATAAAAACATACGAAACGGGTTATTTTGCCTGTTTTAAAGTATCTGAATGGTAGGGTCATACATTCTTGAAATCCGGCGGTACTTTTTGTCCCCCGGGTGGCATCAAATGCTACCCATATGCAGCAAAAGAACAGAGCTCCGCGTTGAGCCTCTGTCATACATATATAATATATATGACATCTGGGTAGCACAATTCGTGAGCTGACTCAGAATTAGATATTCTGGCTTGGAACGGCTTATTCCTTTGCGTCCGAAGGCAGAACGGTTGTATTCGTTCTACAATTGCGAATTTAACTCTCATATATTTACGGCCTTTGAGCCCTAATAGGTAGGTAGGTATGACAGTACCTATTTTGTGCTGATAGGAACTTGATTTTAGCATAGGTATAGACTCTACTCATGGTTACTGGTCGATATCCCTGTCCGTGAAAGGCCTGTTGACTTGGAATACTCAAATGATAGAAGATTATACCTTTGCGACCCTGTAATGCAGTTGCCGGGTTTCTCATAAGCCTCAAGGTCTGGATATAGCATGTGTGAGGCGAACCGTCTTCAATGCTCTCCTGAACTCACAGATACCAGAGCTCTTCATTCTGCTTCAAACAGGCAGCCTTTCATCGATTTCTCTCCGTCCAGCATTTGATATTTCAAGATGCAGCCTTCAAGCCATTCTATGCATGTGCCTACTCTTGAATGCAGCCACTTCCAGTTCCGTGATGATGGACATGAGGCCGGGTCCGCATCCCAACTCATTGGCAGTTTCAAGCGGACCGGGTTCGTCGAATTAAGAAGCCACGGTATCTCCGATAAGAGGGTCCAAGACTTCTTCGGCTGGGTAGGTCCACACATCACGCTTCGACTTGTGCATAGCCGTAAGTGATGAATAACAATCCAGATGCGCAGATTCTTTTCCCCTGCACCCGAAGATACATGAACAAGAGGCACCATCCGACTAGCCGAAACACCCCCCAGAGGGGGCGATCCAAGTACGGCGACGAGTCGCCGGGCTACTGACAAGTGTGTGGAGCACGCAGACGTCAAGGTATGGCTATCCCATCTTATATGAGCCGCATATGAACATATTAGCTTCCAGGAACACTTTGATGTTGGTGATGTTACCGACACTCACTTCCCGACTCACTAGCCAAATTCGCCGCTGCCCGGATTTTCAGCCATCCGTTGAATCATACTACACTGCCATATACACCTTTGCTGCTAGCATCATGGTTTTCTTGGAGACGGCCTTTTCTCTCCCCAAGGGCGCTTTTGCCCCACGAATCAAGCCCGATGCAAGTGATCTGCGTCTTGCTCACTGATCCCCCTGTCCCGACATCACTCACCATTCAGGGCAAGGCGGCACGAATTCGGCCTAACACAGACTTTGGTCTCATCACACCTCTCTTCCAGGATGGGGCGGGCGGTTTGAAGATTGAGAACCGAGCTAAACACCAAAACCATCCCAATCTACAAACTAACGGGAAGAACGATGATGAGCCAGACTTTCTCCCCGTTGAGCCTGAGCCAGGCAATATCATGGTTCGCGAGGTCAGCGATACACTCGAGCGCTGGACGAATGGCGAACTACCTGCAGGTGCGCGTCGTGTAATACTGCCATTGGCCTTCAACCAAGACGTCGACAACAGTGGAGAAGCCGAGATTCTTCCTGGCCGTTACTCGACAGCGGTTTCCTTCAAAGCGGCTGGAGAGGAGAGGATGTAACCCCTATGGATGCCTTTGTCACGGAGGGAGAAAAAGGCCAAGTTCCCGCCCATGACGTCTGCTGAGTATCAGCGACTACTGTTGTATACGACGTGGGGGTCGGTGAGGTGGAGCCGGCGCCTAGTCGATGCATTCGTTGCATGTATTACATGGAAATGTGACAAGCAGGGTCACACGCTTTTCCCAATCTGGTGCTGCGCATCGGCAGCGTTATGAGTCGAACACCGTCCGTAGTCTTCGCCAGAACAATAGTTGTTTCTCTCCTTCATCATACTAATTGCGCCTGTCCCAAATAGAATATGTCCCGTTCCAGGAGTACTGCTTCGACTCAGGTTCTTCCGGGACCTCAAAGCGCCTTTAGTCATGGGGGTGACAATGAGCTACTCACCCTGAATGCCGACTCGGAACCATTGAGGTCGTTGCCCTTGGCCGACACTGGAGAAACAAGTGCCAGGGCATGGATAACCGTTGTTGGGGCATTTCTCTTCCTCTTTCCTAGTTACGGTAATACGTCCCCTCGCACGATGCAGTTCCAAGCAAAACACATTGTCTGAAATTCTCGGTCCAGGTCTTATGCAAACCATTGGTACCATCCAATCTTATCTCGAGCTGAATCAATTGTCGTCCTACTCCTCGCGAGATGTTGGTTGGATAACGGGGGCTTTCACGTCCCTGGCCTATTTTCTTGGCATCCAGATCGGGCCAATGTTTGATGCGTATGGGCCTCGGGTTCTGGGCCCCATCGGATGCATCATCTACATTCCCACGTTCTTTGTGCTGGCAGAATGCCGTGTATATTGGCACTTCATGCTGGTACTTGGCGTCTGGGGCGGGATAGGAGCTGCCATACTATCCATGGTCGGTGTTGGAGTAATTGGCAAATGGTTTGTGCGTCGACGTGGTCTTGCCATGGGTATCGCCCTCTGCGGCTCAAGTCTCGGTGGGGTTGTCATGCCATTGGCGCTTCGGAGCCTTCTACCAAGATTTGGATGGGCTTGGGCCATGAGGAGTCTGGCTTTTCTACTGGCGGCTGTGATGATTGCAGGAGCTGCTTGTCTCCAGCAGTCGATGCCCTTCGTCGAAGCCGCTTCCGAGAACCGACGCCGCAAGAGGGTGGCGCTGAATTTCATGGCTCTCACAAGCGGAACCTTCACGTTTGTTACCATTGGGCTTTTTGCTCTCGAGTTTGCGGTATTCGGCGTCTTTTCTCTTCTCCCGGCCTACGCGACTGCCGCTAACTTTCCTTCCGATACCGGCTTTGGCTTGGTTGCCGTCGCCAATGCCGTGTCAACAGCAGGCCGCCTTTTGCCGGGATTAGCTGGCGATCACTTCGGTCACTTCAACATCTTGATCGCTATGATTTTGGTTACT